CTAAATGAAAATGGGTCGAGGCATCTGTGCTCATTTACGCCGCTTCTTTTTATTTCCTTTGCGAAGTGTTACTCCTTACAAAAGGCGCGACACTTCTCGACCGTGTATGATGACCCCACCATCCCTACATTACTACTTCTACAAATTCCCAAATTATTCCATTTCTTAATATTTAAATTTCAGAATCCCCGTTTTCGGGTTCCTACCTATAACAGCCCTTGAATTTCCAAATTAAGTACACTGTGTATCTTCTAACTTTAGACTCTAACATTTCAACGTTGCTAATAGTAAGTCTGTGAATCTCGAATTTCACAATTAACCTATAAATCAGAAAATTTCGAAAAATCCAAAATACGACAACCTTTGCATTTCTAAAATCTTGAGATCTCTAAATTTAAACATTTAAAAATTCTCAAATATCAGAGCCTCTAATTGTAAAAATTACTGTGTTTATAAATTTCGAATTTCACAAACTGCCACATTAAAAAGCTCCCAATTCCCAAACTCCTCAAACAAGTCCCTCAAACCTCGTTCCTTTACCCAAAAATCTAAAATTAAAAATTTTTAATCTAAATTTAAACAGTTAAAAATTCTCAAATATCAGAGCCTCTAATTGTAAAAATTACTGTATATATAAATTGCACAAGTCCACAAAGTACCACCTTAAAAAGCTCCCAACTCCCAAAACTCTCAAACCTCATTCCCTTACCCAAAAATCATTAAGCAAGTTCCAAAGAAAATCGATCGCGATCGATTAAGAAGAAAAATCCTTCTGCCGGTAACGAGCAAAAAGGTAATCGCGGCAACGACAAAAAAGGAGTGACAGAATGTTTCTGTTTGGAGAACGGTCTCGTTAATATTCGCAACGTTAGCGAGAGAGAACCGAACCTTCGTTCCTTAGTGGGCCAGGGTTTGGCGAAAAATTCGTCGGCTACGGTTTGGCCTTCGCGGCGGACAGAAAGAGAAAAAGAGAAAGAAGAGACAGGGAACGACGAAGGCCAAATACAACGAAAAGGAGAAAAAGGGAGAAAGAAAGGATGGAGGGGAGAAAGAGCCGCAGCATCGAGAAGGAAGGGAAAGAGTGAAAGAACAAAAGGAACGGACCGATCTCCTTAAGAGAAATGCGTGGGAATTGTACCATGTGGCCCGAGGACTGGTTCGCGAAATATCGCATTGCGAAACTACATATAAGTACTGAAGTTACGCGTATGAGTGTCGCGTATACTACGAATTGCTTCCCTTACCGAAAGTTGGCAAAATGACTATTTTCCTGGTTAATTTTTATTTTTTAATTTTTTTTAAATTTCAAATTTGGTATAGTTTCTTGTACTTTAATGTAGAGGGTATGTTAGCTATGATCATTGATAGTCGATCATGTAATATAAGGACGATCTAAATCATAGAATGAATATCGTAGATACGGTTTTTTGATATCGTGCAGGAGCTCGTCTCGTAAATTTGAAGTTTGAAAACTTGGAAATGTGGGAAATCTAGAAAATGTAGTAATTTAGAAATTTGAGAACTTTGGGGATATAGAAATTTTCAAATTTGAAAAGTATGGAAACTTGGAAATTTGAGAATTTTGGAATTTTGAGAATTTGGAAAATTTGAGTATTTTGGAAATTTGAGAATATGGAAAAATGAGAGTGTGGGAAGTGGAATATTGGAAATTTGAGAATTTTGGAAATTTGAGAATTTGGAATTTTGAGAATTTGGAAAATTTGAGAATTTTGAGAATTTTGGAAATTTGAGAATATGGAAATTTGAGAGTGTGGGAAGTGGAAATTGGAAATTTGAGAATTTTGAGAAATTGGAATTTTGAGAAATTGGAATTTTGAGAAATTGGAATTTTGAGAAATTGGAATTTTGAGAAATTGGAATTTTGAGAAATTGGAATTTTGAGAAATTGGAATTTTGAGAAATTGTGGGAAGTGGAATTTTGGAAATTTGAGAATTTGGAATTTTGAGAATTCAGAAATTTGAGAATTTTGGAAATTTGAGAATATGGAAATTTGAGAGTGTGGGAAGTGGAATTTTGGAAATTTGAGAATTTGGAATTTTGAGAATTTGGAAAATTTGAGAATTTTGGAAATTTGAGAATATGGAAATTTGAGAGTGCGGGAAGTGGAATTTTGGAAATTTGAGAATATGGAAATTTGAAAGTGTGGAAAGTGGAAAGTGGAAATTTGGAAATTTGAGAATATGGAAATTTGAAAGTGTGGGAAGTGGAAATTTGGAAATTTGAGAATTTGAAAATTTTACAATCTGAAAATTTGGGAAACTGAAAATTTGCAAATTGGAAAATACTCAAATTATAAAAACACTCCTACACATGTCCATACCCACAAAAATCCCATATATTAAATTAAATGAGAACCCACCACCAAACGGAAACGGAAATAAAGTAACTTCCACTCGAAATTGCCGGGTGTAATCGTCCGATCCATTAGGGTATAAAAGATCAGCTGATTATTCGCTAGGTAGACTTGAAAGAAGCAACCGTATAAAGGCGGACTAAAGCGGTCAGTGTCACACGGTTCGACTAAACGATTAAAGAGCACCGACGCGACGTATCGGGAGGGTCTTTAACGGCGTGGGATCGCACGTCGACTTTCGCGTGCTAAAATTAGTGGAATAAAACTCGCCGTTACAATTGATAAAAGTCGCCGCCACGATGTTGCGTAATGTTATAGGGGGTTCGTGCGAGCTTTCATTGGACGAAATTCACCTTTGGCAGATGAGAAACAGGTTACCGTTTCCGGTCCACGTGTTAACCTCGTCAGGAACGACGTCCTGTTAAGAATTCGACGTCGGTCACTAGCGTGACCGTATGTGACCATATGTGGCGGTCGTTTAATTATTTATTCCGGACTTAACGGTACTCTATGGCGATCCACGTTTTCGTGTTTTTGATTATTGTAAAATTCACTGAAAATCATTTGGATCATGGAATTGCAACTCACTCTTAACAATGTTATACGTGGCAATTACATACTGACAATTCCACGGATTGGAATACATTATCTAGTAATTCGACGCATGGAGTTGCGGCGCGGGACAATTCCACAAGTAGAAATAGAACACGTGGCAATTCCACGGGTAGCAATTCCACGAGTAAGAATTCCACGAATAGCAATTCCGCGCGTTACAATTCCACGAATGGAAATCCCACAAATAGAAATTCCATGCGTCGCAATTCAACGAATGGAATTTCCACGCGTTGCAATTCCACGAATAGCAATTCTACTCGTTCTAATTCCACGCGTTGCAATTACACGAATATCAATTCCGCGCGTTACAATTCCGCGCGTGACAATTCCACGCGTGGCAATTCCACGCATTGCAATTCCACGCATTGCAATTCCACGCATTGCAATTCCACGAATAGCAATTCTACTCGTTCTAATTCCACGCGTTGCAATTACACGAATATCAATTCCGCGCGTTACAATTCCGCGCGTGACAATTCCACGCGTGGCAATTCCACGCATTGCAATTCCACGAATAGCAATTCTACTCGTTCTAATTCCACGCGTTGCAATTACACGAATATCAATTCCGCGCGTGACAATTCCACGCGTAGCAATTCCAGGCGTTGCAATTCCACGCATTGCAATTCCACGAATAGCAATTCTACTCGTTCTAATTCCACGCGTTGCAATTCCACGAATATTAATTCCATGCGTGACAATTCCATGCGTAGCAATTCCAGGCGTGGCAATTCCACGAATGGGAATAGAATACGCAATAATTCCATTCGTCGCAATTCCGAACGTATCAATTCCGTATATAACAATTCTACGGGTGGTAAGAGAAGGCGCGACAATTCCATCCTTAAGAATTCCACGTTAAGTAATTTCATACGTCGGAATTGCAAACATATCAATCCCACATATGGTGATACAAATTTCAAGGTTTTATATTTACAGTGGTTAAATTATACATTAATAGAACTTGGGAATATATACAATTGTGTGTTATAATACGAAAATTCAGGTGTGTGCAATTAGAAATTTGAGTACTTCTCAAAATGTTCGGTTTTACTCAAAAATCGTAAAGAATTTCTGTACCTAATATAAAGTTTTCATAACACGTTAACTGCCGCTGTATAACTAATGCTATGCCATAATAATTAAGATTAAAATAAAAAGGTATATAAGAAAAGAATGACTTCGACAATCAACGTGTTAATGACTTCCAAGATGCAAACTCTACTTCGATCAAAGGGGAATAATGATTGGACGAATGAAGTGCATCAGAGTGGTACAATCGAATAATACACCACTCCATACAATAAGCGCATGACTCTGAGATGTAAAAAGTACGGCGTAAGAACAACTTTATGTACGCATAGCACATTTTGCACTCGTGAAAATTTTCAGATTCGTGTTTCTCTTACGTGCATATGATACCGATTTCGAATTCACTCTGTTCATTGATTCGGTAAAAAAAAAAAGGGTTCTCATCGAATATAGCACATGCACGTCCTCACCGCGTATCATCGATCGACGCTCTGAATCTAAGGGGTAAATCGAGCGGTACGATGACGAAAGCCAACAAAATGATGGTCTAGATGAGGATGATCAATTCTTCCTCCAGCACAGGTAATTTATTGGAGGAAGCGCTACGAATGCGTCAATGGTACTGTGAAAGCGTCTAAGACTACCAGAACTATTCTTCCAAACACAGAATCTATTTCTGTGAGTACTTCGTTTAAATATTTTAAATAAACAACTGAACAGTGAAAATTGAGAAGACTATAAGTTACATTTTTATATAACTGATTCTGTAAAAGAAATGTTTGAATGTGTGAATAAAAATCTTATCTACAGATAACATATTCATTGATTTTTAAAGTCTTAATGTAATGTGTAAATAAAGAACAGTCAGCAAACAATAAAGATACAGTCATAGATTTGAAAGCGACACTTTTCACTGTTCAAAATTGTATCCGCAGGTTTGATGAACGTAAGCCGGCGAAGAAGAAAAGCAAGACTCACCTTAGACAGCTTCTCGCCCTCGTGATGCGGCAGCAACGTCCTGAGCGATTGGAAACCGGCATTAATACTCTGCATACGACGTCGCTCGTTGCTGTTGGCGATTTCTCGCCGCATACGCTTCTCCTGCTCCATGTGGCTTCGCGGCGTCACGCGACCAACGTTGCTGGCTCCGTTACCGTTGCTCAAAGCAACGTTCTGACCAGCAACGCGCCGGGATACTGTGCCGTTGCTCTTCGATTGCTGTTGCTGTTGTTGCTCCTGAGAATCAGCGACCTCGGCGACCGTCACGCCCGTGGTCACCGAGCCCTCCTCTACCGTTCCAATATTTCTGAAACAAATCATATTTATTTTTACTACATTCATTACTTTGGTGCAATTTTTGTCTGCAATTTTTGTTGCAATTTTCTGTCTGCAATCTTTGTTGCAATTTTTTGTCTGCAATGTTTGTTGCAATTTTTGTCTGCAATGTTTGTTGCCATTTTTGTCTGAAATTTTTGTTGCAATTTTTTGTCTACAATGTTTGTTGCAATTTTTTGTCTGCAATGTTTGTTGCAATTTTTGTCTGCAATGTTTGTTGCCATTTTTGTCTGAAATTTTTGTTGCAATTTTTTGTCTGGAATGTTTGTTGCAATTTTTTGTCTAAAATTTTTGATGCAATCTTTTGTCGTCCCTAATTATGCTAATGTCTAAATATTCATTGAAGTCCCTCATTTAATCAATTTCATATGATAGTTAATATTTTGTCAAACGTATTCTGAATTTCAATAGAGGTGGTTTTTAGAACATTTTTTTTTTTCCAAAACAAAATGAAAAATCTGCAAATTTGCCACAATGAAAATTGAACGTCTACAAATTCACAGACTTTGTAGATTGAACATCGTTTGTTGCCATTTTTGTCTGAAATTTTTGTTGCAATTTTTTGTCTGCAATGATTGTTGCAATTTTTGTCTGCAATGTTTGTTGCAATTTTTGTCTGAAATTTTTGTTGCAATTTTTTGTCTACAATGTTTGTTGCAATTTTTTGTCTGCAATGTTTGCTGCAATTTTTTGTCTGCAATCTTTGTTGCAATTTTTTGTCTAAAATTTTTGATGCAATCTTTTGTCGTCCCTAATTATGCTAATGTCTAAATATTCATTGAAGTCCCTCATTTAATCAATTTCATATGATAGTTAATATTTTGTCAAACGTATTCTGAATTTCAATAGAGGTGGTTTTTAGAACATTTTTTTTTTTCCAAAACAAAATGAAAAATCTGCAAATTTGCCACAATGAAAATTGAACGTCTACAAATTCACAGACTTTGTAGATTGAACATCTACAAAACTTAGCAGATTGAAAAACTGTCTGCTACTGATACAATCCGCAAGTGCCACTTCTTTGCCATTATGAGAAAACACGAATATAAGAATCGAAACATTCGTACATAGATCGAATCCCCCAGCGAGCAATGGTAGATGTTTGAAAAGCATTTCAACGTAGCCATCAAAGAGAATCCCCGAAAATCAAAGCGACGAGATGGAAGAGACTGACACTCGTGTGGCCCTGTGTCGACGATGTCCACGTTTCGTCAGGGTTCCGCGTCGGCTCTAAATATTTGATTTACAAGCAGATACGAGAAGAGTAGAAAGCAACGCGGCCGGAAATATAAAAACGGCTGGCTGCCAGTCTGCATCCAAGGGCTTTTAAGGAAATTGAAAGCGTCGCGCTGTTTGTTTCAACGAAAACTACGGCGCTAGTAGCTCGGCTAAATGCGGTAGTGGTAGTGCGAAACTTATCGACGGTTAAATTCGCGGTCAATGAAGCGAGACATCATTGTCATTCTGTGGTTACTACTTCAAAGACCGACTGCACGCAACGCCAACGCGATACTATTTTCTCCCTTTTCGAATACGCTTTTAAACGCTCGTTGAACAGATGAATTTCATGGCCTTTTAATGGGGCAAGGTCGTATCTTTATAGCTTTCTTCAAGTACTGATTCAAAAATTAGGGAAAATATTTCTCTAAGTAAAATAATAGAATGTTTGTTACATAATATAACAGTGTTCTTATGAATGCAAATATGGATATTAACATTGGTGGTCAACAATGATGTCTGATAGATTAGAGAGAATGTCGTCTTTTAAAAATGTTGCACATCTACAATTTTGTGTCTTATTTGTAGATGAGAGACTAATTCAATGTTAGAATATTTGTCTATTTGAAATTCAAGCATCTAACATACTTGGACATTTCACATTCGGTGTCTGTACATTCACATGTTCATATGTAGATTCACATGCAGTTCTTCAACTAACATATGTACATATCAAATTAAGTATATTAAGTGTTCTGATGAATGCAAATACGGAGAAGTTATTGACATTGGTAGTCAACATTGATCTCTCTGATAGACTAGAATGAATGTCGTCTTTTCAAAATGTTGCACATCTACTATTTTGTGTCTCATTTGTACTTGAGAGACTAATTCAATGTTAGAATATTTGTCTATTTGAAATTCAAGCATCTGAGTACTTGGACATTTGAAATTCGGTGTCTGTACATTCACATGTTCACATGTAGATCCACATGTCATGATGTCCACATCCACATTCATATGTAGATTCATATGCAGTTCTTCAACTAACATATGTACATATCAAATTAAGTATATTAAGTGTTCTGATGAATGCAAATACGGAGAAGTTATTGACATTGGTAGTCAACATTGATCTCTCTGATAGACTAGAATGAATGTCGTCTTTTCAAAATGTTGCACATCTACAATTTTATATCTCATTTGTAGATGAGAGACTAATTTGATGTTAGAATATTTGTCTATTTGAAATTCAAGCATCTGAGTACTTGGACATTTGAAATTCGGTGTCTGTACATTCACATGTTCACATGTAGATCCACATGTCATGATGTCCACATCCACATTCATATGTAGATTCACATGCAGTTCTTCAACTAACATATGTACATATCAAATTATACTATGTTACATTAAATTAAGTAATAATATTAAACATGAAGAAGTGTTTCATCTTCTAGATTATAGATTTTCTATGCATCATCCTAAACAATTTTTATCCAACACTCCTCTGGTGAAGTATCAACTTCTCACGCTATATGGACGAGTCTGACGCACTCCCAAATATGACAAATCTTACTCGATCTTACAAAATCTTAATTTTGAGTACACTTCAATCTAGTGTTAAAGTCCAGTGATTCGCACAGTCAAGATTAAAAAAGTGACATAACATTTCAACTTTCTCTGTTTGTTTTAATATTGTGATTAATTCTGACGCACCTGACAAGTCATATGATAAGGGGTTACCAAAACAAGTTTAACCCTAAATGAATTTTTCGTTCGTAAACGTAAGACGTATTGGGCAACAGCTGATCAAAAGGATAAGAACGCAAAGAGGATGGCAGAGCGTTTAAAGAAGATTATTAGTTAGCGAGAAAACGGTGTATCATTACGGCAGCAGACATAATGAACAGCTTAGAAAGAAAGGAATGTTTCGGTGTCGGAAACGGGGAAAGGATAAAATACTTTTAAGAAAAAAAATACACCGACTTCGAAATGCACTAAAAAGTATAAAATAATTTCTATTTCATTCAATCATACAATTACGTCACAGATATGAATGAAACCTATTTACTCGTTAGGTAGTGTATTAAATACATTTCAACCTTTTCGGAGGCGGCGCAAAATTAAAAGATTTTCTTGATCATGTCAACCTTTGGACAGCCGAACATAGGCAAAGCTTGTATAGCTATTTTTTTT